TATCCAGTGTGGTAATACTGTAAGTAGCCAAGAACTTGAAAGGAAAAATTAGGGAAATATTAAGTTCATGTGGATTAGAGGTATTTTTTGCTGTCGTGTTAAGCAACCCTTGGTAATTTACTAACTGTGACTATATGTCATTATGAGTATACTGTATCTGTGGGGCACATGGGCAGAATGGAGAGAGAACCTATTGAAAAGGAAAATGTTCAGCATGTGGTGTCTCAGCTTCAGTCTGCAAAAGAAAAGTCTTATAGAATTTGGTAGAGGCTGATATCCTTTCTATACAACATTTTACATCCACCTATGGAATTCTCTGGCCTTCCTGTTGTGAGAGACTTCTGCCAGGAGAAGAAAGTACAAGGGATCATTCTCAATAGACACCAACAAATTAAAACTACTGTGAAATGTGTAGAGCAAAGATTATGTAAAATAAAATCAGCTCCCCCCTCCCCTAAAAAAAAAAATCAGAAAAGCTAAAACATTACAAAAGAGTGATCAAAATAGCTTGAAAATGCCTGCTGTGATTTTCCTCAAAGTTGGTGGGAGGGGAATGTGTCTTGATGGCACAGGATATAGCTTTGCATACTTCATGAGGACATTTTGTTTTGTTTCCTTGCCCTGCTGCCAAGTTAGAGGAAAGACTGAAAGCTGGCCTTGTTGTGGCCCGGATCCTTCTCCCACTGAAATCATGGCAAAACTCCCATTGACTTAAGGGGTACAGGCTCAGGCCCTATCAGAGACTACTCCAGCCTCGATGGAGGAGAGACCATGTGTGTCTCTCTAAAGAGATCTACCCCTCTAATATCCAGGGGTTTGATTGATTTTTGGTACCACAGACCTGAGTTTCTTCTTCACTTGTTATGGTGAGCTAGTAGCTGCCTTATTGAGAGTCTCGTAATAGATGCATCATAATGACTGCAAGGGTAAAATATATCACAATTTAAAAAAAACCCTAATTATTGTAACTAAATTCCAGGAAGCTGAATATTCATTTTTACCCATTCAGTAATGTGCAGGACAATGAGTACTCAGTTCAGTTAATTGTTTTTAAGGGATAGTTAGGTACTCAATGTTTGGCCTGTGTATAGGGAAAATATAAACAATCATTTGTGAGCAAGGGACAATAATAAATAAAGATCATGACGTGAATCCCTTGCGGATTTTAGAAATGGCTTGTGCTCGGGTCCTGTTTTCACTTACCTTTTCCAAAACTACTTGCTGGATACATTTTCAGATATAATTGAGAATACTTATAAAACATGCTGTGGGATTACTTATCTTTTGTGAAGATTTATCTTAATCCTCTTTAAAACTCGGGGGAGCAGAAAACTGCCTGTTAAACTTGATTTTTGAAATAGTAATGAGACTTCTATAGTGCCGGTAATATAATTTTAAAAGAAGTATTGGTTACAGATAATTATCAGTGAAATAACTGACATGAAAAGCAGGTCTTAAATTAGCATTAATGGGAAATCAAGATGATACACACAACAATAAAATAAGTATCTTATGGGAAAGTTGCTAAGTTCCGACGCATCCAGAACTGAAGGGGTCCCTGATGTGTTAATGTGGAGAAAGGAACGAATAACAATTCAAATGCACATGTATGAAATTATCAAAATGGTACACATGTTCCCAGTTTTAAAATTACTGAACCAACTTCTTTTGAAGTTGATTTTTTTTTCCTTTTTCATTGTGGACTATTGAAATTACGCTAGTTAGAACTTCTTCTGGTAGTTTCTGACCTTTGGTGTGCGTGTTCCTCAGTGAAGCTTTGATCATATGGGGCAAGTGGCTTATGTCATCTCCCCCTACCCCCTCTACCCTCATGTAATTCTTAAGTGAACAAAAGGATATTGCCCAAACTTTAACAAAAAACATGTCTTGGATGAGATGATGCATGGAAAGTTCTATCTTGAAAATACTGCATTGGATTCTTTTACTGTGCCAACCTGTATTCTGTTGTGGCTCCCTGATTCTCAAGCACTCTGACCCAGATATAAGTTAGGCTGCTCTAACTTATGAAATCTGTTTATGGATTCTTTCCAACCATGTGTCAGTAGAGAATTGGTGTAGTGGAGATGAGCTCTGCCCTCTCCCTCCCCTGACACAACTCCTGTGCCAGAAGGGGGCACTTAAAGGGGCTTGGCAATCTTTGTGCAAGTAAGTTTTTCCCCCAACAAGGAATTTCTCAACTGCTCAGAGGCAGCCAAATTATGTACCCTTATGCAAAGGGGGACAGAGCTGGGGCTGAGAATCTGGCACAATATTAATAACTAAAAATTGTGTTTTGGAATGGAAATGTAATTTGGCCCCATCCAACCCCTCTTCTCATTCCTGACGGCCCCCTGGGGACCCCTGCCCCATCCAACCACCCCTTCTCCCTGTCCCCTGACTGCCCCCGGAACCCCATCCAACCCCTCTTCTCATTCCTGACTGCCCCCGGAACCCCTGCCCCTGACTGCCCCCTGCCGGCCTATCCAACACCCCCTCCTTCCTGACTGCCGCCCCCCCGGGACCTCTCCCCCCATTCAACCCTCTTTTTCCCCCCCGACCACCATCCACACCCCCGCCTCCTGACCACCACCCCAAACTCCCCTGCCCTCTATCCAATCCCCCCCTGCTCCCTGCCCCCTTACGCACTGCCTGGATCACCGGTGGCTGGCAGCGCTACAGCCGCGCCGCCTGCCTGGAGCTGGGCCACACTGCCGCCGCCGCCACCACCGCACAGCACAGAGACCGGGTCAGGCCGGGCTCTGCAGCTGTGCTGCCCCAGGAGCTCACAGCCCTGCTGCCCAGAGCATTGCACCAGCAGCGGAGTGAGCGAGTTAAGGCTGCAGGGGAGGGGCCAGGGGCTAGCCTCCCGGGCCAGGAGCTTGGGGGCCGGCCAGGATGGTCCCGCAGGCCGTAGTTTGCCCACCCCTGGCCTAGAACTAAAAAGTCATAGTTCTGCAGTTACGTTCCAAAAGCAGCATCTTCACCATGTTGCCTTCCTGCCCTTAAATGATTATACATCTTTCCCAATAGCCAAACCCTTGTCCTATTTGAAGTTAATGATGAAATTTCCATTGGGACCAAGATTTGGCCATTATTGTTAGCTTGCCACTGAGAGATGACCATTAGCCTTTCAAAATCTTCCACAGATATTTTTACAGGCTATATACATTATCCATTGTCTAGATTCACTCGTTTTCTTATGTGTTTTTTCTGGTTACCATCAGTATAAACTTTGACTCTAGGCACTGTATGTTAATGTCATGTTAACAAAAGGATGCAAATGAACAAACCAAAAAAGTTCCATAAATAGTTGCTAACTCTTATCTTGGATACACGGAGGAAGGGTGGATTGAGTTAAACCAAGGCAATTTAAATAATTGATTTTAATCAACTTTTCATTTGTACTTCAGTTATTTTCTAAAGAAAGGTGCATTTTCATTGGTTGATATAACCATTAAAACATATAACTAAATACAGCCTTTATAGTAGATTTGGTCCTTTTTTTTTTTGCTACCTAGGAAGGTACACTATAACTATATATAATTATTTGAGCAATTATATAGCTTAATATTTTCAGATTCTTATTAATTTTACATTTTTAGTATGTTAGAAAATAGTGAATGATATATTGCTTATTTAGTAGATTATTAACTTTTAGCTCATGATTTCTGTCAAGCTGTGTTAGGATGGCAACTGGGATTTAATTAAACACACAAACCAGCATACAAAATTTATTTTTAATAAACAAAATGAGCCTTAGTATATTACATGAACTATTGTGCCATATTTATAAAGCTTGACTTCAAAAATTAGATGTTTTCCCCCTGAGTCTTTCTTTATATAGAAAAGCAGCCTTTAACTTCGAGGGTAGAGGGTCATGGATACAGTATATTTATTTTTATATAAATGTTTTAAGAGATTATAATAAATTTAGGCCTTAACGTATTAAATTCAGACTTCATTTTAAACAGGTGTATTTTTCAAAAAGAAAAACTTATTATTTGAATTACGAAATAAAAAAATTCAATTTAATTTAAAACAAAATCTGTTTTTGTTTTTTTTTTTTCAAAAAAGAATCATTGATTTGTATCCAGTGTGCATGGAGGGATATTATGCCTTATTTCAAGATGCACCTGGTTATCAGATCTTATAAGCAGCACCTTAAATTGGATGTTAACATTCAATAATTATGTATTTCAATAAAAACAGATCTGACACATTTAATATGAAATACAAATATGCAAGAGTAGTGGATAAATATGATCTGTACTGTGTGGGTGTGCACTTCATTCTTTCAGGGGGGTTTGTATTGTGTACATGTTCATGTAGACAAGCACTTTGAAAATGTTTTTAGTGTAATTGCTTGTTGTTTGCTTCAAATTCATAATTCATCCCTTTGGGACTGGGAGTCGGATTTCTCTACTGCACTTGATAATGGCACTGGGGAAATCCTGGTTCATGGTGTCACAGGATTAAAAATCATCATTGCTAAATATAAGTACATGATTTGCAGATGAGTGGCTAGCAAGATGTTCTGGTCCTAAAAGGAGGGATTTCCTGGCTTGACAAAATATGAAATACTACAGTAGACAGCCTTGGGAGAAGCTTGAAGCCTCTTGCTGATTCACTTAGCTGGTGAAGTGTGAATACTTTGAACTGTAGATTGGGCAAGAGTGTGTTTGAGAGCTAGATAGGGCTAGTGTCCCCATTATTACGTAGTCATAATCAGTGTCACGGGTTGATCTGGTCGCTTGAAGGGAGTGTTAAGACAAGAAAGGATTAATCCACAGCGAGCTCTCATAATGCCATATTAATAACTTATTAAATTAAATGTCCATATATAGTGTTGTAAAAAAAACTGAGAATCTTGTATTTGATAAACTTCTGAATTGGGTATTAGTTTGTTCAGCTCCTTACGGGATGATCATTTATGCTTAACATACATAAGTGATCTGCATGAATTTGGTAAAATGACTTTTGTGTCTATTTTTGCATGGCAGGTCACAGTAATGAAAGGCAGTAATCGGAATAAGGATCATTCAACAGAAGGAGAGGGAACTGGGAAACGACCAAAGAGAAAGTGTCTTCAGTGGCATCCACTACTTGCAAAGAAAATCCTTGACTTTTCTGAAGAGGAGGAGGAAGAAGAGGAAGAAGAAGATATCGATAAGGTAGACTGTCCCTTCCAAAAGATAAGCCCTTAGTATTACTCCATTTGTGTTGAGAGGCAGTCCAGATCCATCTTTGAGTGGATCATTGAGAGTCAGGAGCATGGCTGATAAAATGATAACTTTCTTGGGTGTGGAGGGAAAAACATCATTAGTTAGAAATGTGTGACATATTTGAGGATATTTATGTGTTTTGGATTTTGGGTTAGCACTCATTTTCTCTTTTATTATGAAACTGTGAGGAAACAAAGAACATCAGAGTGGATTTATAGTAGGCTGAAGAAACTTAAAATTTCAGTGTATATATTTAATTATTCAAATTAAGAAGTTTACCAAAGGTATAGTCAAGGTAACTCAACAGGATGAAAACGAACAACCAAGATTGAATTTATTACTGCACCTGTGAACTGCAGTGTCTGGTCTTCCAGAAACTGATACTGTTTTAAAGGCCAAATTCAGCTCTTAGTTGCTTTTATAATCTGAAATAACTCCATATTCGTTTACACAAGTGTAACTGAGAGAATTTGACCCTAAATTGTTGATGATGGGCCAAATTCTGTTTTTATATATTTTTCTTCCACCATGAATATAGCCAGTGAAAAGAAATGGCAATCTGCCTTTGCAGAGATATAGGGATAAGCAGCAAATAATTATACAGTTTTTAGTTTCATTCATGTCTTTTAAAAATATGATACACATCTCATTTTACACTTATTCTGTAACAAAGATGCTGGCAAAAACTTTTTAATTGAACGTGGTATATCTTATGGCCTGGACTTCACAGGATGCCTTAAATCTATTGTACTCTATTTTTTTTAAAGGAGTTTAGTACAGAGACAATGATATCCATGGTTTAATATCTTCAAGTGATGGAGTAGGTGAGACTTTTGCTACCATTGCCCACAAAATTTGACTCTCTTCTGGGTTATTATGGGCACAGATGGGATGGTCCATCATTGGTTTACTACTTTGTCTTTGGCATTGTTCGCAGAATCTGGCCTCAGTTTTCTTCCCCGAAGGGCCTAGCATCCCAAGGGACACAGCATGTGGAGTCCCACAAGTTTACTGTTTGTCCTGGTTGATGAAGGATGGGGTAGGGAAGACAGGAGAGATCATGATCTGCAGTGTCCCCAAGACGCAGTTAATACTCAGATCCACATCTCCTTGATGTCTGATAGAGTTGTGTTATGGGGGACGAGGTTGGGAGCAAACTGGCTTAGGCCAAACATGGATAAGACAGAGTGATGCAGATGGGTAGGGAGAAGTAACTAGAGAAATGCACTGAGGCTGTGAGGGTGGGTTCTGATGAAGGTGTTCCCTCATCTTTGCCGATACAGTTTATATTGGCAGCATCCTATTTGCTCCACAACTCTTCTGTACTATTAAATGGGCTTCCATGTTATATAATAGTACTATTATATCTATAGTTGCTCCAGAAGTTTTGACTCGTCTTCTGTGAGGTGGGTCTTGCCACAGGGACTCTTACATCTATGAGCTCAAGGCTGAATTACTGCAGTGGTGTTCCAGCTGGGGTGACCTTCTGAAAAGCATTCGGCAACTTTTTAGTTATTGTACGGAACGGTGCAGCAACACAACTTTTGAGTGGGAAGAGTTGCTGGGACTACAGAGCGCCAGTCCTCTGTGCTAGCTAACTGTTCATTTCCAGTGGCAGTTCACACTGTTGGTTGCAAGCTACATGGTCCAGGCTAAGTTAACTAAGAGATCCTTTCTCCATTGTTGCATTGTGACAATTATGTAATAGGTTGCTCTTGCTTTCAGTGCCTGAGGTTGAACTCTCTAGGCTGGTGGCAGAGAATGGCCCTCACCTGTTTCCTCTCTTAATCTGAGCTCAAGTCTGGGAAGAGAGTTTCAGAGTGAAACTTTGGCTTGAACAAGCTTTTTCTGTAGACATATTTTGGGAAGGCCGTGTGCGTATCATTGTTTTAGTTATATATATGCATGTACAAATTTTAATATAATGGGTGACGCTTATCCATGTTTTACTGACTGATTTATTTTTTTTAACTTTTCTCTTTTGGTGCTAATAGGTCCAACTTCTTGGAGCTGAAGGTCTAGAGCACGATGCTGATGAAACAGAAGATGATGAATCCTCAGAGCAGCGAGCCCGCAGGCCAATGAACGCATTTCTCTTATTTTGCAAACGTCATCGCTCCCTTGTGCGGCAGGAACACCCCCGTCTGGACAATCGTGGTGCTACCAAGATATTGGCAGATTGGTGGGCTGTTCTAGACCCGAAAGAAAAGCAGAAATACACTGACATGGCCAAGGAGGTATGTACTATCCCAATTGTGGGTGGTTGTCAACTGAATTTGTGCAGTAAATGTCTTTTCTTCTGTGCATTATAATGTCTTAGCATTTAACATGATATAAATGTGTCACATGGTGTATCAGAAATTCTCTGAAGTGCCATTTTCTAAAGTAAGACTCTGTGCCCTGTGGTTTTGTACAGTGCTTTAATTTTAAATTTGTTGGTGTGTTACTGTCACTAATGCTCGTGTTATTTTGAATCAGAGTGCAAGGGAAGCAGTCTGTTTGTATCCAAACTATCCTGCCCTTGGTAATCTTCTGAATGCACTGGATATAGAGCATAGAGCTCATGATACAGCATTCATATGATGCTAGCATGTAAATGGCATGTCGTCGTCCGTTCAGAAAGGCGTGGCAGGAATGTGCCCAGTGAAGGCATAATTAAAAGTCCATTCCATGTTAATCAACAGTACTGATAGATGACATTATCTTGAACTGTGCTTTTCCTATTGGTAATAGAGCCTGTTAAACAATCCTTGTTGAACCAAAAAGTCCAAAAACATAGCCTATTTTTTTCTTTGCTAATAAAATCATTGTTCACCAAATAGTTTTGCCAAATAATTTTTAAGCTGCCAGTGGTTCATGAACTGTTCACTTTGCGTATTCATTGTTTTCTCTCTGGTATGTAATTGATCAGGTGGCAAGTGTTGCTATGGCAGAATCCAATCCCTGAATCCGTGAACAATATGTCATCAAATTCCCTTATCTGGGAATCCCGTGAGAAGTCCCTCATTTCATAAAATGTCTGTTTTATCTCACAGTTTAAATGTGAGGTTTTCTGTGGGAATAACTTGCCTAGTAAATTGGTCCCAAAAAGATTTTAAGTGCTGACGTTGGAGTGGGTTTGTCTGTAGCCAGTTATATAGGATAGACTTCTTAGCCCAAAACAGAAGATGGTAATTAGTTGTTTAACATGGATTCTATGGAGAACTATGGAGTTCGACATCAAACAAGGCAACTGCTGGGGCAATGAAAAAGAAGAACACTATGTCTGAGCTCATGGACTATAGAATAAGCGGTAGATGACGCCTGAGACAGAGCTATTCTTAGGACAATTAAGGAGAGAATTATCCATAACCTGTGCATATTATTTAGGATCATTTCTTTCTGTTTCCAAACACATACGAAGTTTGGATATCTTGAGGGAGCTGTATTAGATCATGTGGATCTCTGGAGATCTGCTTATTTCTGGAGCTTCTGTCTTGGGATATGTTCAGAAATAGTAAGCACTGTTCATGGCATAGATATACTTTATAAATAAAAAAAATAAAAAGCAGATGTAAACAATTTCTGAAGCACCCAGTATTGTTCACAGTCTGTGACAGGGTACTGAGTTAGATGAACTATGGGTTTGTTCCTGTTATTGCAGTTCTTAATTTATTTTACCTTCCCACTTTAAATTAGGCAGTGCTTTTAAAAATTAAGAAAAAGTCAGGGAAGAGATATAATACATATATTGAAAAAAGGAAAGAGGAAAGTTTTTTACTCTTTTTTTCAAAATAAGTAAATCTAATGTACTTCTTTCTTTCTTTTTTTTAATACTTTCTCTTGCTGAAAGAAACTTTTATTTAGTAAGGGTTGGGAGGGGAATAATTGCATAACTCATGAGAAGTGACAGATCTGGAACTATTAATCATACTATTATATGTCACTGTTCCTGTAATGATTTAGTTTTTCTTGGCTTTAAGAACACATTGTGCATTCGCTATTGAAGAGAAACAATATATCCAAGGGAGTTCAGATCATTAAAATGAGTTCCAAGAATGTGTAGAATATATAAAGCATATAATTTTTATTCTTCAAACAGTTGTTCAGTACAACAATAATAATTAGCAACAATAGTCTACAACTGAATATCTTTAGTACCTCTTCATAATCAGGCTCACATTATAAAATAAACATAATCAACTCAAACCTCATTTTGAACTGTATTACTTCATATTATTTAGTGCTTGGGTTTGTTGTGGGGATTCTCAAGTGGGGTAACACAAACCTGTTAAAAAGTGTTGTTTGCCTTTTCCTAAAGACAGGCAATTTACAGGCTAGCAGGTGGCCACCAATAAGAGGAAAGAATAAAATTACTTTCATATTGCAATTTTTTTTCTAATTGTTAAGCCATCTAAACTAACTGACACATTTCAGAAAAATATTATTTGAAATATTTCATAAAAGCTTTTCACTGTGGTGGTATTCCACCATTGCTGTCATCAGATCTCAAGATTTTTACTGCAAATGGTCAAGCTTTCAAAATTGGATGCCTAAAGTTAGGCATCTAAATAAGTGTTCTGAATTTCCTCAGAAGTGCTGAGCACCCAGCAATTCTCCATGGACTTAAGCAATTTTGAAAATCAGGTCATTTATATAGGTACCTAAACATGAACTTAGAAACCTAGCTGTAGGCACCAAGGCCGGATTTTCAAAGGTGTTCAGGCACTTAAAGGTGCAGGTAGGTTCCTAATGGGATTTTCAAAGCTCTTAAGCAGACTGAGTGCCTAACTCTCATTGCCTTTCTATGGGAATTAGGTGTCTAATGAACTGAGGCACCTACTGGGAATTTCAGAAGTGCCTATCTGAATCTTTAGGTTCCCAAGTACCTTTGAAAATCTGGCCCCCAGTTTTAAAAATCTTAGCCAACAATTCTGAGAGTACATGGAATTTTTGTTAGTTTAAAACATGGAAGTGAGTGGAAGTTCTGCTATTGTCTTCAGTAGGAGTGACGGCATGCTTTTGATTTGTATCCTGTAACCTTTGTAGGTCAGCTTCAACTTAAACTATGAAACTTTTATTGCACAAGGGCAAAAGAAGAATAGCTGCTAAATACTTCTGGCAGATCCACATGTGCTCACTGCCATTTGTTACCATTATAGTTTAGAGTGAAAGAGCCATTTTCTCCTCAGTAAAGGTAGTCCTTATTCCCCAGTCACTTACAGCTTGAATTGTACATAAATATGTTTGTCTATTTTAATTACCTGAATGCACGAAAGGGATAGAGTTCACCTCTTAAGAATGCCTCCCCACCGCTCCTTTTATATTTGGGCTAGAATTTTTCAAATAGCTTTTTAAAAAAAAAACAGAAAGGGCATTAGTGCTAAAGCCTTGTTGGAAAACAGTTAATTTTAAAATATGTCTTTGAATCCACAATATCTGGGCCAGCAGAATTGTTTGGCCTCTTTGCTGTGGTGAACAGCCTGATGAATACAGACTGTTGCCACTCAGCGACAGATTTGAACGCTTCTCACTGTGAGGACTCTTTCAGCTATTTCGCAGACAAGCTCAGACTCAGACCTTGTTTTGCGGCTGCTTTGGAAACAGCATCAAAATGAGAAGAGACAAATATTATGCCTTCACCAATGTAGTTTTGCTAGATATGCTGGGAGAGATGTGGACCATGACATGCATGTAAACCATGTCCTTCACAGTGTTGCCAAAACTCTTGGTGTTTTTTTGGAAAGTCCAAGCTCCTGGATTCATGTGATTTGTGAGAATATTACTTTAAAAAAAGAGAGAGAGAGTGTATGTGTGTTAAATTTCTAGCATTCATGTTTTCAGAGAAAAGCTGGAAACAACAATATAATACTAATGCCTATATTTTCATCAGTAGATCTCAAAGCCCTTCCCAATATTTTGATCCTCACTGTGAGGTAGGGAAGTGTTATTATCCCCATTTTGCAGATGGGGAACTAAGGCACAAGAGGCTAAGTGACTTGCCCAAGTTCACTCAGGAAGTCCATGGCAAAGCAGCGAATTAAACCCAGGTTTCCCACGTGCCAGGCCAGCACCTTAACCACTGGACCATCCATCTTCCCAAAACCACAAATTTTGAAGGCTCAAATCCCAGAAGGGAAATAGAGACCCAGATTTTATTATTTTAAATCAATCTCATGATTCTTTTTTTTTTTCTCTTTTTTTTCTTTGAGTGTCTGTGTATCCGTGTCACCCCGGATTTGTGAATTTTGAATGCTTGGTGTTGGCAATACATGGCTGACTGAAAGCCAGCAAGGGAGCACTGATGGAAATTTTTAATGCTTCTTCCAAGAGGTGCTGGCAGTCATTAAACAACTAATGACTAGGCCCTCTCTCAAGAAAACATCCTGTGCTATGAATAGCCATATCAGTTACAGTGCTGCCTGGAGCCATCTATTTTTATTTTTATTTTGTTTTAAAAATGTTTTATTTTTAAGAAAAGAATTAAGCATCTGTCAGGACACATTCAGATCCTACTTGGCCTCCCAAATCATTACGAATAGTTAAAAATGAATGGTAATTAAGCAATAGCCAGGAGTTTTGTAATACAAAAATATGAGTAGGTGATGTATTATGATCCTATAATATACTTTAGTGCTATTGGGGACTCTGTGCTTTTAACTGTGTGAGCAGGAAAACCGATTCATGAGTGGGCTTGATGTTCTAACAATAGCAAGTAAAGCTGTTTTTGTGTGTGTGTGTGTGTGTGTTTGTTTCTTCCCTTGATGATGCTATTTTCATGTGATGCACATTCACTATAAAATGAACTCTTCAAGCTGAATTAAAAAAAAAAAGGAGGAGGTGCCACAGTCTTTAATTTTCCAATCTAATACGTGTTCCCCATTCAAGATATACAGAGAGAGAATATGTGGGTCAGCAGCACCTACAAATTATTTATAGGAAAGCCTACAGATAAATAAAAATAGAACTTCACACAATGTATTCACATAGTATTTTTGTTTTTCTGAGGTGAATCATCTATATCCATGCTACAATCTGGAGGCTGACAATGACAGTTGATAGATTAAGATGGAAATGAAAATATAAGAGACACACATGCAATGATAATACTGCCACAAAGCACACAGGGTTTTGCAATTCACATGGATATTGATCTGGGAAAGCACTGGAGTATCTCTTTTAGAGGACGTGGTTTTCAAAACATTTATTACCTGTTTCCATCAGTAGCCAAAGGATTTATTTTCTTTAGTTTTGTTTGTGTGCAATATTTTTTTAAAGGGAATTCAGTGCTTTTGTGCGAAAAGTGGTTGCACTGATGTCACATGAATGACTGGAGCACATGGTACTGCACATGCTTTGAGTGTTCAAGGCCATAGAAAGTTTTCAAACAGCCACAGTGTATTCTAATGCTAAAGATCGCTATGCATGGTGGTAAATTCTAATTATGAGCTCGGAGCAAAGTATCAGATGCACTGTCACAGAAAATGAGACAGTATCTGTAAGTAACAGTTTATTTTCTCATGAATATACCTGGCTTTGAAAAGAATATAACTAAAATATTGTAAAATACAAAGTTGTCATCTTCCCCTGCTCCTCCCCCCCTCCCCCCGAAAAAGTGTATGCAGAGCAAGGAGCCATGAAATCTTGCCACATTTATCTCCAAATGGTTTATTATCAAGCTACTGATAACCAGTAAGGAGAGGAAAAACTCATGCTATTTTTAAATCCTGCTGTTTAATAACTTAATCTTTTAGGTTTGGCTTGGTGGTCAGAGTGAACTCAAAGCACAGGTTTAGAGATATGACTAAGACCTTTGATGAAACTCCACAATTAAGAGCATAAAAGACTATATGCTGAATTGAACACTCTAGTGAGCAGGGTGCTCTCCCATTGTCCTATAAATATCAGATTGCCATGTCTGATATGAATATTTTCCTTACCACTTATTTTTTCCTTTCCTGTCTAGTACAAAGATGCATTTATGAAGGCAAATCCTGGCTACAAGTGGTGCCCTACAACAAACAAACCTGTGAAAACCCAGTCATCCACTGTTACAAACAGAAAAAAGCTATGGGCCTTCCCGCCAGAATCTGCAAAAGATTTACCAAGTCCCAAGAAAGTGGCAAAGAATGAAGAAATGCCTCAGCTGAACTTTGGAATGGCAGGTGAGCTTTATGTCCTTGTTTCCTGTGAGTATTGTCGCTGTCACTGATAGCATTAAGAGAGTCTATCCTGAAAGACAATAAGACTAGCTTTCTCTATTCCAAGCCTATTATAATTCCATGTTCTCCATTCCATGTTACAATTATAGACCCTCATGCAGGGAAGCGCCCCTGTTTAGGACCACACTGAAGCCTGTGCTTAGGTGCTATATGGTGTTTTGAGTAGAGATGGACTTAAGCACATAAGCTCTATCGTAAATCAGGGCCAGAGATCTGACAACATCTAAAAGTGGGGCAGTTTTTGGTCTGGATCCAAATTTTGCAGCTCTGGCCCACCATTAGTTAGTTAGAACTAGATCTTTTCACTATACATCAAAAAATTATACTATTAATTGTATGCATTTTCTTTCCGTAATTTCATGTGGCACTGTGCTATGTTTATCAATCTCATGTCAACAGAAATGATACACTGGTAACTACTAAAAAAAAACTTGGAGTTTTTAACAAGCAGAGTGGTCAGAACTTTCAGGATCAGGTCTTTGATTAATACAGGCTCTAATGTGCTTGAGTATTGGCAACTTCAAAACCTAAAACTGGCACAGACTGGAAGTGATTTAGAGGGAATAAAACAACCTCTTTTTCTCCCCTCCCTCACTTTTGTTGAAGTCAACATTTACACAGGATGTTACAAAACATTTCAAACTTGTTTAGCCTGTGCTCTGTGTGTGACAGATAAGACAGGCTCTCTGCCCTGGAGAGCTTACAGACAAAGGGGTAGGGGAACTTTGTGTGTGGGATGGGATTGAAAGGATAAAAAGCTTGTATCCATTTTTGCCCAACCCAGTGGTATGAGAGTTCCCATAATGAAATCGCTCCTCAGCATGAAGGAAGTGTGAAATGTATTTCAAAATGAAGTTTGTCATGCTACAAAGCTACATAATGTGTTATGCTTGTTATTTGGGAGCCCAGCATCAGATACTGTAAATCCCTTCATTCCATTCTGCTTTTAACATCAGAAGAATAACATTAACCATCTTTAAATGTTCTTGAGATTACGTGATCAGCAGCTTGCATGGCTTATTCCTCATGAGTGTAACCACCTCCCCTCTGTACACAATAAACCCCTACAGTATCCTTTAGTATAAACAGAGCTCATAGACTCATAGACTTTAAGGTCAGAAGGGACCATTGTGATCATCTAGTCCAG